GTTCCATAATGCAATGGAACAGGTTGCACGTTATGCCTCTTCTGAAGAGGGAAAGAAATGGAAGTTCAGATACATTCAAGATTTCAAGGCAGAAGCTAACTTAGAACAAGGTGTCATGAGCAGCAAGTGCAACAGGGCTGTCTCACTACATTTTTCCAGTTTAAAAGAACGTATTGCACTGGTATGAGCAGCAAGTGCACTAACATTGTCTCACTACATTTTTCCAGTTTAAAAGAACGTATTGCACTGGTGCTCAAAAACTCTTCTGCAACGACTGATCCATTCCTTGCATTCACACAGAACAAAATGTACAACACCACACATGTGCAGGCAGAAGAAATTAGAATGAGACTCCTGCAGATCTCCCTGTGCCTCTCCTTGTTTTCATGCATATGATGCAAGCTATTCTAAAGGGAGCAGAGGAAGAAGCTCTGAATACAAACTGCTGGACTCATTGGCATATACTTTCATGCTCTGCTGCCCTCAACCCTCCTCCTATCTCTGATGAGCCAATCCATTCTTTACCATTGGCGATTCGGTTTACCTCCCTTCTGAGTCCTCTTACCCTCCTTGCTTTTAACAACTGTTCCAAGAAGAAAAAGATAAAGCAGAAAGCAGGTGTGCAATTCAGCAAACTTACCTAAGTCTAGAGGATATCTCGCCAATATGAGCTATATTTAGCTTATTAGAGTATGGTTCCAAATCATTTGTGGTTCTGGAGGACAGTGACCTAGGAAAACAGAAATTGGATTAATATAAATGCCAGACAACTTGAGAAGGACTAGTTTTTCCTTCAGCTACACAAGATTCCAAGTCCATAAGTAGGCATTTTGGCACTAAGCAACTCAGATCAGGAATGGGAAGTAGAATCTGGATGGAGTTGTTAATAACTTTCATTCCATATCTGTAAATGTACTGAATTCCTCTTCTCTATGGATATTACAGGCAATGACTGATCAGCCTAACCCAGCATGCATCTTAGTCCCAGCAGTCGATGAACAAGAAGGCCATTCATGACCAGTTTTTGTGCAAATGCCCAAATTCAGAAAAACTACAATCACCAGCATGTCAAAATGCTGGACCTAGACAAACATTCCTTATATGTAGATACATACTTAGGTACAATTAATTAAATCTTAACTATATTTATCAAAAATAAGTCTCATAGAATACTTGTCTGTGTGGCTCACCTTTCTCTCTCCTTCTTCCCCCCTCCCAATCATATAGAAATAACTAGGAAGAAAATGAAAAAAGTACAAAGTACAAAACAATATATCTAACCCTCCCAAAGAAACTAAAAAGGAAAAAAAAAACCATGGTTGGATGTATATAAAAACCAAACAACATATCACAATAGATATGTAATACAGGTGAAACTCGAAAAATTAGAATATTGTGCAAATGTTCATTTATGTCAGTATGG